ATTTTATCTTTCATTGTATTTATATTAATTTAATACAATTGCTTACCTGAATGCATAATTTACATAAAAGGAAGTATTGATTCTGTTGACTAATAAATCCTGCTTCAACCACCTTACTTAGTTACTTTGCTGGAGAGGTGAGTTTGTTCTGATCAGGTCCTTGATTTGGACTCATTTGGGCTTGAATTGAGTTTGTTCTGATAAGGTCCTTGATTTGGTTCGAACATTCCAACAGCACTTCGAGTCCTTGATTTGGACTCATTTGGGCTCGAATTGAGTCGAATTTTGTGCCGTTGGGTTCGTATTTCCGAGACGCTCAGTTTGACGGTAAATTTGCTGAAATAGGAGTTCAGGTGATTCCAAATTTAATTTTTCAAGTTTCCGGCTTGATTTTACCTCGAGATTCGTGCCCGATCGAGATAATTTTTTGATGATACATCAAGTTTAGAAAATAACTATTTGAATCTTAATTGTTAGTTCAAATTTTTGTTGCCATTAATATTTAATGATTGATTTCGACGCAAATATAAGTAAATTGAACTTCTGAATTCAAGTTATTTACTTCATTGAAAGCTGTTACTTTGTTCATTAATCAGCTTATGTAAGAAATCTTTCCAATTTTTATAAATAATCAAGCCAAGTTTTTATATAAAAATTGCTATACTCATATTGTGAGAAATCTTTCCAATTTTTGTTTCCAATATTGAATTACAGCAATCAACTAATCAACTATAGTACAAATTACTGTAAAATCTATCATTCCTAATCTTTAAATCTCATGGTAAAATCTATAAATCAATTTTCCATACACTATTAATATGGTCATATAGATGGCCAAATATTGAGATGCCACTTAAACACAAATCCCCACTTTATTCGTAAGATTGGCTATTACTTTCAAATCCTTTCTAACTTTGAATTTGGTTAATTGATTCAGTAACGCAGAAATCAGACCTAGAGACAAAAGAAAAGAATGAAATGGCTCCTGTCGAATATTTTTGCAACATATCAATCACCAGACAAGAAACTATAATAATTGCATAAGCTGTGAAAACAAACCGTTGAAAAATGAAACATCCATGAACCAGAACAAACTAAAAAAGTAAAGCTAAAAACTTTACTGGAAACATAGAAGATAAGATTAACTTCAGCTCAGAGATGAAACAATCCTAGTATGCAAACTCTAAAGCAAGATAATGCAGCTCTGTACGAAACAATGAAAAAAGGAGATAGGGGAAAGGCAAATACACTCAACCTCTATCTTCTTCTCCCCCAAAATAACATCAGATTGCAAGAAATCATCAGCCATCTATCTCGGAAACAGCATATCCAGTACGATCGATAGCAGCGGCCTTCGGATCCTGAATCAGGAAACGACGTCGATCAACCATTAATGAATAAGCAACAAAAAACCCCGTCCCCCGCGCCAAAAAACAAAAAAACTCGCACTCGCGTCACCAAAATCAACGCCAGATTCCTCTGCGACCCTCGATCAAATCTGACGCGAAAGAGTCCGCAGAAAGTATCAGACCGTGCCCTGCATCCACAAAGTCTAGCAATGCGGCCTGGTCCAAAGAACCCCCGAAACCTAACGAACCAAATAGATCTAAGCCTAGATCGGAAAAATAAATAATCAAAACGAAATGTATCCGCCAACTTACTCGGAATTTACGCTGAACAGAGGGAGAGAAGATTACGGCACCATCGTAGATGAAATATCCATATCTCAGGAGGGAAAACTTAGTCATCGGCGGGGAGAAAGTCGAGCCCACGGGAGTAGAGAGAGTTGAAGAAGAGGGAATGAGAGGATCTAACGGCGAAATCATCGACGAGGACGACAAGGCGGAGATCCGTGGAGCTTTCGGCAGAGAAGGTTTCGTAGAAAAGCAGAAGCACGAAGAGGAATAAGGCGGGGAAGATCCATGAGGCTTTAGGATTTATTCACGGCCGGCAGCTATGTTGGTGAATTATATTGGCGGGGTTTTATACTTTTATTTCTTTTAAAAAGAGAAAAGAAATAATTATAATAATAACCACCTATAATAAAATTTTATGTAAATGACGTATTAAACCTTGCATTTTATTTTTAATATAGTTGCTTTGATTTATTAAACCTTGCGTTTTATTTTTAAAGACGGCCTACATTGCCAATTTCTTATAGATCTACGCAAATCGATAGTATTATCTTTATTAAAAAAAGTTTTGTAATATTATGAACATTAGAAGATGTCCATAAAAAATCTAGACTTACGGTGATAATGGAAGAAGAATAACTCTTAAATTAGGGCTGCAAACGAACAGAGCCGAGTCGAGTATATGAGTGTTCATGTTTGAGTTCGTTTATTATTATCTTGTTCAAGTTCGGTTCATGTTTGATTCGAGCTTTATTGTTTGTGTTCATATTTGGTTCGTTTAATTTATCGGCGTTCATGTTTGATTCATGTTTAGTTCGTTTAGTGCTTATCGAGCTTTAAAAAAACAAACATTAACGAGCTATGTTCGTGAACATATTTAACAAACAATCTATTGAATAAATGAATCTTAAATTTATTCATGAATATCTTAAACAAATAATCTCGCAAATATGGATAAATGTAAAATGTCTCTTGGTCGTGAACAAATTCATTATGTTATAATAAATTTAAAATATTTATATTATGTATATTTATCATTTTTATAATTAAATATTAATTGAATTTTTATCGGATTTTTCCAAAAAAATAAAAAATTTCTATCGAGTTTATTCACAAGTGTTGACTGTAACTGCTCCCGACCGACATACACAGCACAACCGACACCGATCCCGCGAACCGTCGC